CCCCTCCCCAAGCCAAAAAATACCTTCTATTGTGAATCTTGGATTCCCTCTGACCTCCCCATGACCACCCCAACACCCCCTGCCAAGAGAAGTGGTTTCAATAAATAAAGCCCAGTGACGGGGTTGAAGGTCAGTTTACACTGGAGCTGGAGCTTCTAAAACCCCTGCAGGTGCTGGCATGGGGATAAAGCAGGTCACCCTCATAAGAGATGAGGGAAGAACGGAGAGCCAGAAAGTGTGTGTGTGGAGACTGAGGAGCATTTCAGGGATGCAGACAGATATGCAGGTGCTACTTCCCTCCTCCAAAGGAGACTCTTGGTCCCAGTGCCTGGACTTGGCAGCATCTGGGAGGTAACAAACCCTGAGGGACTTGTGCGACAGAGCCAGTCCTGCTCCAATTCCAGAAATGGAAGACAGCTGTGAACCCGGGAGGGGTCAACTGTTGTGGGTGGGTTGAAGTGGTCCAGGATGGTGAAAAGCACCTCTATGGAAAGGGAAGGTCCTAGGAGCATCGGAACCTGAAGATTTTCCTTTTCCCTGCTGAATATTTAGCTTTGTGGTCCACTTCTTCTGATAAGTTCTGAGCAAAATGCTCCCTGCTTGTGAAAGGTGGTAATTGCAGCAAGAGAGAGTTCCAGGGTTGGAATCAGACTTAAATTCCAATGTAGATTCTATAGGAGGCTGGCTCCTCAGAGCCTTGCTTTCCTCAGTGTCAAACTCTGTGTGTTAGAGTTCATCTCATACCAGCTGAAAGCAGAGCAAACTGGAGACAGGAGGTAGGCAGAGAGCCTCACAGAGTCCGAGGAGCAGGCTGGCATACGGTGATGTAGGCTTGCCATCCAGGTGGACTTTTCCTTCTCCTTCCAAGTATTTTGTTTGTGGTGGCCAGTCTGAATTATCCCTGCTGGCCATGCCAGTGGCATTCTTAAGCGGGGACTGGACAGGAGATCCTTGTCCTTGATTTCCCTTTCTCTCAAGTTGCCAGGGACCTTTTGGGGGAAACAAGCTGAAGAAATTTAAAAAAAAAAATGTGGTGGAAAATCAAACATTTCCCACTCTGGGCTGCACAGAACTCAACTAGGAAAGTGGAACACATTTTCCCTTCCCTACACTCCCATTCAGAAAGGGGAAGGTATTCTTAAGAGCCATGCTCTAGCTGTTCTGGGTTCTGGAGACTGTTGGTCCAGGCCAGGATTAATAGCAGACATCAAGAGTCCCAGCGTACTTTCTTCCTGGGCTCTCTCCCCATCACTTGGGCTGTTGTAAGCCCTGGAGAAAGCCTGGTTGTGGCTTAGATTTAGGGGCACCCCTACATGAAAAGAGGGCTAATGGGAGAGCAGCTGAGAGGTGCTGGGTTCCCTCAGTACCCAAGTTTAGGGAGAACTGAGATGAGAATGCCACTGGTTATCCCTTCTTACTTCTAGCTCATTCCTGTGAGCAGAGTCAGAAGGAACCATTTACTATGTATTTAGAGAAGTATCGCTTAGATATTTTTTAAACTCCCTAAACACAAGATGTATCTTTATTTGCTGTCTTTGAGACTATTTGATTTAAATCTGCCCCCCCCCTTTCCTAGGAGTGTAAGTCCATCTGAAATGAAGAAGAGATACTGGACTCACAGTGGATCCTTCAAATACTAAAGATTATAAATATTACCTTATGTGTACAAAAGGCTTAGTGGGGTCCTAAAGCTTAATTAAGAAAAACAATACAGTGTGTTGAAAGAACAAATGGCAAGAGGGTTTCCTCAGGCATAGATTCATCTGCTGGGTGAAGACTTATGAATGACTAACCACTCCCACTGAGGGACTTTGGAAGGATTGGAGTTCAGTTGTGGATGGAGGGGCTCTTGTGAATAATGTCACATAAATTTCAGACAGTACTTGGGTGGGCTAGGAGGGTCCTGTGTGTGGGCTCTAGTAAGTTTTTTGACTTCTGCTTCTTTGAGTAATCAGAATGGGGACCGATAAAATATTTCAGCAAAGAACAGAAAAACAACACATCTTCAATGTTTATTAATTTTTCTCTGCTTGGTATTGGGGGAGGTGAGTACAGGAGAGTGGGATGGCACACAGGAGTTCCAGGCAGTGGTCTCTGGCTAAATGCAGCTTCTGTTTTTACAGCTTACTTAGGGAGAGCTGTTAGTTTTTCTAAGCACAAACTGGGCGTTCGTTCTCTAAGCTCAATGTTTAGGCTACAAAGCCGGTACAACTGTCTTACATACCTACGCTCAGAAAAAGAATGGTTCTGACCTCAAACTCCGCCAAATCTCCACTGCATTACCGTGCTTGGAGCCCATCTAAGCAAAGCCCTTTGGAGGACTGGAGTGTAAGTGGAATGCTAAATGTCAGCCCCTACGTTCAAGAAAAAGAAATCCTTAATTCTCAGCCACGCACACCTGTTTGCTTGTATCTTTTCTTTTCAATGGGTCGCTTTGCCCAGAGCTTTCTTTCTGCTCCATTCCTGCTATTTTTATCTTACCTAAGAACACTGAGATCAGACCAGGCGCCAGACTTCTGAGACACCCTGGGGAAGAGGCTGGCTAAGGTCTGCTGTTAGAATCACCTCAGAGCTCAGTGTCTGGGGAAGGACTGGCATATTAGCTCACTACAGGGTAAGAGTGGTGACCAGTGTCCTTGGAGAAGACTAGAGGGGCCATAGTGAGTGGAAATTGTCTTACAACATATCCATTTCCATGGGGTAATAACTATAGGGAGCATTTGAGCAAAGATTCTTCTGGATGTTACCCCATGGAAGCGGACCGCAATTGGGGATGCTGTGTCGTTTCCCTCATTTTGGGGTTCACAGTTGAATTTGGCCAGTGAGGGGCAATGGTGCTGAAATTTGGGGAAAGAGGCAGAGTGAGAGATAATAGTTCTTGTTTCTGCCTTTCCCCTTCAGTTCCATGGCCTTGTCCTTCGGTTCCCTCCACCGGGCAGCCTCTCTCGCATTGTCGCTCTCATCAGGTTCTACTAAACCCCAATGTAACACCATTTGGTGTTTTTAGACCCTCTTTAATTCCATCCACAGTCATGCAAATCACTATTCAAACTCTTTATCTTTACCTGAATCCTACTTCTTTTCCCTTCCAGCAGGCCACTGTTTCCTCTGTAGACTTGGTGGGAGAGAAGAACCAGTCTTCGGTTATTTCCTGTGTCATCCTGTTAATATTGTAACTCGCCATACAATTTCTATCTGTTTCCTTGCACTGTTCTGAGGTGCAGACATGTAGTTTCTAGGATGACTGTGTTCTTGAAGGCAAGGGTGGCTCTGGATCTAACATCCGAGCAAATCTGGAGAAACTCTGCTTTATACTCTTTGCTTTAATTTGGTGAAATGTATTCGATATTGTTGCTAAAACAACTACAGCCCAAACCAAATATTAATACTATTCAAGGTTGTTTTGACCTTGGCTGAACTGACTTGGCTGTAAAGCAAGGATTGAGTCTTTTGCTAAGTTGTATTAACATAACCAGACTATGAACTAAGTCTAGCTTATAGGAAGTGTTATATGTTAAGAAAGATCTAGCATCTTTGGCTTCTTCATTCCCATAATATTTAGTTCTATCTAGAGTTTAATTCTCTTCAGGCCTGGGACTTGATAACAATTCAGTATTAACTAATACTAATACGGTGACATTCTTTGGGTGTGACTATTAATGAGACACCCCTGCACTTGACACCATGCTAGAAATTAAGGCTACTAAAACAAAACAAAAAGCAGACCGTTAAATTTATGATCTTTGTTTGTCTTTGTGTATGTGTATGTACCATGTGCAATGTAATACCCACAGGGATCAGAAGAGGGTGTCAGATCCTCAGAACCTGGAGTCATAGATGGTTGTGGACCAGGAGGTGAGTGCTGGGAACCTAACCCAGATGTTCTGCAAGAACAACAACAACAGTGCTCTTAACTGCTGAGCCAGCCTTAATGATCAGAACAATGGTTCCGAGCAATCATGCTGGTGCACAGCTGTAGAGCCAGGAGAGCTGTGATTAATAGACAGGGCGAGACAGGAGACACTCTTGAGCTCATTTGAGTTCAAGCCAGCCTGGGCATCTAAAAAATAAGAACAAAAACAAAAAGAAAAAATAACTTCAATATTATTTATTTATTTATTTTTTCCATGTATCTACTTTGAAAAACAGTCATAAAAGTGAAACCTCTGGGTGAGAGGCTACTTAAGTAGTTAGGACTCCTAAGGTATGTTGTCCCCTGACATCTAGCAAGGGTGCTGTTAAAAATCTCTGAGTGATCGGGGCAGGAGCAGGAGGCTGACTGTCCAGTCACATTGCACCCGCAGTCAAGCAGCAGACAGCGACCAGCTCGCTTTTTCATCTAACTCAGCCCAGGGGATGATGCCTACAGTTAAGATGGCTCTTTCACCTCAGTTAATTCCACAGGCAGGTCCTGAGGCTTTTTACCTTTGTGACTCCGGATCCTGTGAAGCTGATGATCAATGCTAATCCTTACATACAGCATCACTCACTGCAGTTCGGGTGGTAAAAACTGCAATTATTGTTTTAGTTTCTATTTCTCTATTTATTAGTGGAGTTGTGATATGCTTCTACTGCCTACGGTATTTCTTCCTTGTGGAATGCACTGTTCACACCGTTTTTAGCTCTGAAAGTATTTGAGCATTTGTCTATTTCTCATCTACAGGATGAGATTATTATTTTTGTGGTGCTGGGAATTAACCCTAGGGACTTGTGCAGGCTTGGTAAGTGATCTGTCACTGAGCTACATCTCAAGTTCTCCTCTGTGATTTCACCTCTGCCATAGGCATTATAGATTTTCACCAGATTCTTATTTGCATCAAAATTTTTTATTTGCATCAAAATTTTTAACTGCGTAGAATTAGAACCTCATTTCTGTGGTTTAATGCTTACAAGCCTTTACCACACAAAACAAAATCTTTCATCTAGTTGAAATTAATTTTTGCGCAGAATATGAAGTAAAGATATACCATTATTTTTCCAACATTTTAACCCTGGGGCAGACTCTAATTATGAAGAGCTTTGAATTCTACCTGGAGAACTGCTTTAGACTTCAGTCAGTTGTGACACTTTGGAGGCGTGGAAGCTGAGATGTTATGCTGAGTCTACCCTTACTTCCTGTGAATGAACCAGAGGACACTCCAAAAGCAGAGGACAAGAGAACTGGTAGACATTGGTGAGTGACAAGGATTTGGCTATGTCACAGAATTTTAGTGTATGCTCGAGTAATTGTATTCTGCTCTTCTGAGTCAAATTTCTTCTCTTTAAGATAATTCCACAATTATTGACTACGAAATGGCCTTAGACTTTAGATCAATAACTAACGTTACCGTGTGGTTTAAATGAGAATGGCCCCAAAGGCTCAGGTATTCAAATGCTTGCTTTCAGTAGGACTGTTTTGGGAAGGATTAGGAGATATTGCCTTGTTGGAGAAAGTGTCTGACTGGGAGTGGGCTTTGAAGTTTCAAAAGCCTAAGCAACACCCAGTCTCTCCCTCCCTCCCTCTGTCTGTCTGTCTGTCTCCAACTTGTGGATAAGATGTGAGCTCTTAGCTATGGCTTCAGTGCCTGCCTGCCTGCCTGCCGTCATGTTCTGTACCATGATGATCATGGACTCACCCTCTGAAACTCTAAGCAAGCCCTCAATTAAGTGCCTTCTTTTATAAGTTGCCTCGTTCAGCAATGTAAAAGTCTCTAAGACAAAATAACTAACTCCCCTACCTTTCTGTCTTCCTTTTGGTAAAAGCAAACCTCTAATAGAGGTTCCTAGGACAGGACTAGCTAGGGACCTCCAGTAAAATGTCTCTTTGAATATCAATGTCTTACTTATTGAATGAAAATAATAGTATTTGGCTCATGGACTGTTTTTGCTTGTGGTATGAACATCTGTGTACCGTAGGTGTGGAAGCCGAGATGATAATCACACAAAGGTAACTTCTTGTTGTCCATGCCTACAGTGAAGTTGTCCTCATGGAGCATTTGCGAAATATTTTGATTCATGTGACCAGTGCAACGAGACCTCAGGACGGTGAGCCATTTTCTGCAGAGTGCTTTTCATTTGTGACATTCAGCAATCAGTTTGAATATATCATGTGAGGAGGTAAAATAAATGTGCAAGGTAAAATTTTTATCCCATCTTATAGATGAGGGTGAAGGAACACTGCCTGCTTTTATTAAATAGAAGTTTTTCCCCCAAGTCCTGAGAATGCCAGAGAATGCTTGGATATTTGGGCTCATGCTTGTTTCTGGGCTGATATAGTTGTAGAGAACAGAACATTCTTCTCTCCAAGCAACTGGGCAATTTTGTGTAGCCTCCTTCCAGTGTCTAGAGCTCATACAGGATCTTCAGAAGTGCTCATCTGTCATGACTTTGAAGTCACTTGCGTATCTGGAGTGGGTAGACGGTAAAATGGCAACAAACTTTTGAGAGTCTAAGTGCCACGTACTAAACAAAGCACTTCAACTTACCCTCTGTTGAACTGGTTTTTATTTTCTTCCTTTCAAAGTGAGGAAATCAGAATGCAACAGCTTACTTACCACACTCACAAAAAAACAGAATAGCTACCAACTAGATTCATAACAGAACATGACAACCCTGCTCCTCCCCATGGTTCTCCAAGGTGCTGCTCATTTATTTGACATCACTTTCCCTATCCCAAGATGACTACTATTTTAGTAAAGGTTTCTGTTGCTGTGATAAAACATAGCTGTGATGAAAGCAACCACTGCTCATCATGAAAGGAAGTCAGGACAGGAACCTGGAGGCAGCATCTGATACAGCGGTCATGGAAGGGTGCTGTTGCTGGATTGCTCCTCATGGTTTGCTCAGCCTGCTTTCTTATAGAACCCGGGACCACCAGCCCAGGGGCCAACCTCTCACATCAATCACTAATTTAAAAAATGCCCTACAGGCTTACCTGCAGCCAACCCTATCACCCGGAGCCTTTCTCCTCACCAGAGACTCTAGCTTGTGTCAAGTAGACATAAAACTCGCTGGCACAGAGGCTACATGGACTTCTGTGGAGAGCATGTGTTTACCTGTGACATATTGAGTGTGCATCTGTAAGTGGCAAAGTTTATGCTGATCTGGGATTTGAACTTTTTAAGTTGGACTCAGACAACATGAACATTCTGTATCTAGCTTCTTTGCCCTACTCATTGCAGGTGTGAGAGACTCCTGTGTCCCTACTCTCCAAAGCTGAACTTGATTCTTTTCTTTGGTATAAACTATTCCATTTTATGACCACTCATTTTATGAATTTTGCTTTTCAAAGATTTTTATTTAGTCACTTTACATCTCAGTTATAACTCCCTCCTTCCTCTCCTCCCTGTTCCATTCTCCCTCTCTCTTCCCTCTACTCCTCTCCCCTACTCCTCAAAAGAGGGAAGCCACCCCCACCAACCCACCCCAGCACATCAAGTCACATCAGAACTGCAGATGTCCTCTGCCCCTGTGGCCTGGTGAGGCAGCCCTGCCTGGAGCAAGTGATCAAAAAGCAGGTTATAGAGTCTATAGAGTAAGGTTATAGTAAGGGGAGGTAGTCCCTGCTCCCCTTACTAGAGTACCCATATGAAGACTAAGCTGCCCATTGGCTACGTCTGTGAAAAGGGCCTAGGTCTAGTCCATGCATGGTCCTTCGTTGGTGCTTCAGTCTCTGCACACCCCACCCCCTGGCTCTGGTTATTTGACTCCTGTTGGTCTCCTTATGGAGCTCCTGATCCCTCCAGGCACCCCCACCTCCACTCTTCCACAGGGCTCCTCGCACTCCACCTGATGTTTGGCTGTGACTCTCAGCATCTTTTTCGATCCACTGCTGGGTGAGCCTCTCAAAGGACAGTTATGCTAGGCTTCTGTCTGTAAGCATAGCAGAGTATCATTAATCGCGGCCGTGGTTAACTCTCTCCAATGGCGTGGGGCTCAGGTTGGACCAGGCATTGGTTGGACATTCCCTCTGTTTCTAGTCCGTCTTTATCCCTGCACCTCTTGATGAACATTTGAGGTGTTTTCAATTTTTAGCCATGTAGACAAAATGGCTGGAGTTTTTAAAAAACATTCAAATACAAATGTTTACAATTTTGCTCTTTTCCTAAAATCTATACTCTACCTGTGTTTCTTGCTGTACCTAGCAGAGTTGCTGGATATTAAGTATTTGCACACCCAGCTTTAATAGATAAGGCCAATTACCGCTTCGTGGATCACAGCGGGAAAACTGAACAATGCAGAATTTAAGCTTCTTTTGTGAGTTCGTGAGAACTTGAATCTCACATCTCAAAGTTCAAGTCTCTTTAAAGTTGGGCTCATGGTGGCAACGTGGTGATGGCACGCTGACAGGTAATATAGACATACTCTGTTAAAAGCAGATGGTTGTGTCAGATGCCAGCATCATTCTGTTAAGAGTATGAAGAAAGAAGGTGTTGTAAATGGGTTGTTACGCTGGGCGGTTGGCCATTGTGGAAAAGCAGCGGTTGTAGGTGATGTCTGATCAGCTCCCTCCTCTTGAGACCTGTTTCCAGCATCCGTTGAAATGAGACTCCTCATGAAGGGTTTAAGCTGCTGGGGCCAGGGCCTGGAACTGCTTTCTGGCCGCTGAGCCCGAGGGGATCCACCGTTGCAGGGGTTGGGAGTGGAGCATGTTCGGAGCTTAGGTGCTGGAACCGCGAGGCAAAGCTGGTAGAGCCGACCCACGCCTTGGCCTGGCCTCCACACAGTCTGTGGAGTATCTGAACCATTATCATCATCGGGGAGAAGGGCTGGGCCTCCTGACGCAGGCAGGTGAGCAGAGGCTGTGGGCTGGTGGGCAGGTAATTTCCCTTGGACTATGGCGAGGCTATGAGGATTGGCGGAGGCAGTATTCCTGCTCTCATTCGCTTAGGTAGATTCCAGCATCACAAACGTCAGAGTTAAATACAGCACTGAGGCTGAAAAGTGATTGGGCTGAGTAAGCAATGGGCTTCTGTTTGAGCTAAAGGAAACGTTTTTTGGGGAAATGAGTGTGGGTTGAAGAGGAACTGGAAGTGAAAATCGCCAGTGGGAGTAGGTAGACTAGGCTTTGGGGAGCCGAGAAAAAGTGGGGGAGCGATCAGGACATCTGTGGAGAGAGGGAAAGCTAGAGGGAATTAATGCCATCGAGGACTGTCTCTGCCACCCTGAGCCAGGGAAGCTTGTTTTGGACAAGCCTTAACCACCGTTGGGTGAGAACTCCCAATCAAGTCTGGCTAATTTCAGAATGGAGAGCTGTTTTCCTGAGTTTGGGAGTAAAAGAGTGTAAGCTTACTGTAAAGATTATTTGCTGCTGAAGACTACAGACAACATGGATCCTTTTGAAGACTTGTGTTAGATGAACTTAAAGGAGATAGGCTTTTTCTTTCTTTTTAACATTCAAATGTAAATGTTGACAATCTGCTCCTTTCCTACTTACAGCTTAGAGTAGTGGCTTCATGTATGAGCTGTAAGCTGCCGGAAGACACAGTCCACCCACTGTAGAGCCCAGTAGGTCTACAGTTAAGGAGTTTCGATGGATATGCAGACCTTGAAACAACTGATGCAATCAGGATAGCTGAATCTTTCCCGCTTTCTGCTCACTCTGCAGTCCACACCTGCTGTCAGCCTTTCTACCTCCAAGCAGCCACTGAGATCTGTGTGACCTTACAGAAGCAGCAGTGTGTTCTATAGTTTTAAGTAGCTAGTACATGTGCTTTTGTGTCTGGCTTCATTTACTCAGGGTGGTGACTGGTCGGGGCCCTTTTCTCAATTATCTAGTTTACTGTAGCAGTGTGGGTTTTGTTTCTTTGTGTTTGTGTTTAAGACAGGGTCTTACTACACGGCCCCAGCTAACCTAATCATGATCCCCTCTCTTTGTCTACCAAGGGCTGGCTTTACAGGCATGTTCCGTCATGCTTGGCCCGGGAGTAAGTTTTGAAACCAGATACTGTAAAATGTCTAGATTTGTTTTCCCTTTTGGAATTATTTTTATGATTTTAGGGCATTTGAATTTTTCTTTTTATTTTTACTTTTGTTAGCAACATCTGCTGGGGATTTTTTTTTGCAGATAGTAGATAACAGCCAGGATAGTCTGCTACAATCTCTAGAGAATACACGGGGGAAAGTTGGATTAACAGCTATCAGAATAGGTGGGTGAGGGACAGTCAAACCTCTCTCTTTGAATATCAGAGCAAAATAGAAAACACTGCAAATCAGAACAGAAAAAAAATGTCAAGTCCACTCTGGAGGGGTTGGTATGGTCTAGGGCATTCTTCCTTCTCAGAGACAGACAGCCTCAGAAATTCTGCACTCTCAGTAACAGACATTGCATAGGGAGGAAGGAAAAAAAAAGACAGAAGCAGGAAGAAGGGAGACAATTTGAGCTGTTAATGAAAAACTCTCTTCCCAGCATTCCACCTGAGCAGCAACAAGATGTCACTAAAAAACAAACAAGAAAACAAGTAAAAGGATTCACACTGGGAAACTATTTTAATAAGATCCCTGCTGGCCCCAGGCCCCCAGTGAACAGCACACTTAGGAAACTCATAGTAAATGTCACTATGCTAGGCTAAAACTTGGCTGGATACCTCTAAATTATGGAGAAGAAACTTTGAACCAGAACTGTGCAATATTCAGTGAGGGGGAAACTTGGATAGAGCCAGCATTTTTGGGGAAACATAGATACAGGTTCCTGGTGGTGCACCTGATATCAGGAAGGATTGCCCAGTGGGTAGGGTTAGCACTTGAAACCTGTGAAGAAAGATAAGGTCAGCATGTGTGATCCAGCCTCTCAAAAGACTGCCTGCCATCGAGAACTACATTCAGAACCCAATACCTTGCAGGATGCCCATCTGTGCAAAAGACTGCTTAAGGGTGTGACTAACATTTGAGAGTCATGGGAAGAACAGAAGGGGCTGTAGTTGGAGCAGCAAGGAAGCAGGCCATTCAGAGTGTGTATCTCCCATCCAGCTCTCTCATTTATTCATTTGTTTAATATCTATTGCTAGTGTCACAGGCCAGTCCTGTTCTCATTACCTCCCAGGGCA